CTAGAGATCTCACAAACGGAAGGAGGCGGCAGCAACAAATAGTTTTTTTCGACGAATAGTTTTGAAATGGCGATTAGTTTTTTTTTGTATATGAAGAATAGTTAAAAATGTATGTTCTCTATCTTCAATTAGTTTCTAGTGGGGGTGAGCAAAAACCATACCGCAACTAAAATTAACCGCAAAAACTGCATAAACCACAACCGCAATAAAACCGATGGTGATGTTTTCTGTTTTTCAAAAACCGCAAATTTACGGTGCGATGTGGTTATTAGTTTTCAAAAACCGCAAAAAAACTGCACCACACCGCATATATTAGATACAACTTTTTTTTATTAATTATTAATATATTAAATATTAAAAATAAGACAAGTTTCATGAATGAAAGATAAATAACATACTAGAAGATAAAAGTATGGTTTTTTGTTATGTTTAACTTTGAAAAAATGGTGAAATTATACAATTTTAAGAAATTTATTGTTAATTACTATTGATTTGACGTTTTTAAGATATTAATTATTTGAGATTTAAGTTAATTGTCTTATAAATTATGGTTTTTTTTTTATTATTACAAGTAATATGTTTAAACTCTTAAAACCGGTTGACGTCTAAATTGTGATTAAAAACCACACAAAATAACTGCACCAAATCTATACGGTTAATAACCGTAACACAGAAAAAACAAAACCGCACTGCAATAATAATCGTCTAACCGTACCGCAAAAATAATCGCGCCAAGCGGTTTTAAAAATGGATTAACCGCATTTGCGGTTAATGGTGAGGTTTTAGCTAATAACCGCATTGAACCGCACCGCGCTTACCACTAGTTTCTAGGAGGCGATTAATTACTTTTCCACACGTGTTTACAATGCATGACACAAAAACATATTTATACATTGCGATGCAGCAACAACAAATAGTCTTTTCGGTTCGTTTTGGGTAAATAGATTGCTTTGACAATACTAAATCTATCTATTTATATATCTTATAAAACTAACATTTTTCCTTGAACCTCATGCATTTGAAACTCCCAAGACTATATACAAACATTTTTCTTCAAAACACATTCATTTGAAACCCCCATCTTTTAACTAATATAACTAAAAATTCTTCTTAATAATGATTTAACATTCAAATGTTTTATCACTTATATTATGTTTAATAAGCAGTTAATGAAACGTTTACTATAAAAAGATCAATTTTTGGATAGATATGCATACAAATCACATACAAACTTCGTAAAGAAAACAAACTTAAAGGTTTTTGTGTTGGTTTGAGGTCTTATGACCACTTTTGGAGATATATTATTATATTATAGCTTTTAATTTGTAAGTTTGTTATATACTAATTATTTTTATATTTTTCTTGGTTTTGGATTCTTTTAATACAATTGTTGTATGTTGTGCTTTAATCGTTGATATATATTAGATCATATAGATGTTATCAATCATATGTTATATACTGTGATGCGGATAATATTTAATTAGGTATGTTAAATATTTTCGTTTGTTTTGTATCGCTTCAAAAAAACAAATAACTAAAAGTCGTGAATATTTTAAAATTTCTATGTAAATTTGAAAGATATGTTTTTCTTTTTACCGCATGTATTTGAAACTTTAATTATTTTTCAATTTTTTTCTAATAATGATTATAGATTGATTAATAATGTTAAATAGGTGAAAAACGCTAATTGTAATCCTAAAATTAACTAAACTTGAATATTAAATTATCATATTTTACTTATACTTAGTTTTGATATGTTATTTTTTAAATTATCAGTTTAAAGTTACAAATTTTGAATAATTTATATAAAATATTTAAATTGTTAATTTAAATACAATGTTAAAGTATTAACTCAAATGGAAATTTCAATTAAACTTAAAGAAAATCCAATGACTATTTTGTAAATAGTTATAAGTTATAAATTATAGTGTTAAACGTAAAAACTAAATTGTAATCCCAAATCAAAAAAAATATTTCCTAAAACTATTTGTATAAACATTAATAATTTCTAAATAAGTATCTTACAAATAACATACAATGATAATAGTTAAAACTTAAAAGTAATATTGTTATCTATAAAAACAAAAATAATGTTTGACGATTTAGATAACTACAATAATATAAATTAAAAGTTAATCAAATGTAGTTTTTAAAATCTATTTTTTTTAACTAATTAACCATAACAACAACTATAAACAATATTAATTTATATACTCTATTTAAATTTATTTATGAGTAACATGCTGATAGAATAGACGATTAAGCATATATAGTTTTAATAGATTTAATATGATCGTATAATTCGAAATAATCAATATTTTATATTAAATTAGTATAAGAATTATCATATCAAAGTTAATTATGACACTTTTATATTTAAACAACATATATTTTAAATTTATATAAATGAGATTTTTTTATTTGCACCACATGCATTTGAAACCTCTCTGTTTTTTCATTTTCTTTCTAATAATTATTATAAATTGTTCGATAATGTTAAATTAATGCAAAAACTATATTTTAATCATAAATTAACTAAAATATAATATTTAAATATTATATTTTACTTCTATTTTTAAAATTATGACTATAATTTTTTAAAATATTATAGTTAACTTATTAGTTTAGATATTTTGTTGTAAGTGAACAATTATTATTTGAAAGTCACAATTTTAGCATAATTTATGATTTTATGTAATATAGTTAAATTATTAAATTCAATATAATGTTAAGCCGTTAACTTAAATCAAAATTTCAGTTAAACTGAAAAAAAAAATCGATATACTATTTCTATAAATAGTTAAAAGTGATAAGTTATAATGTTAAATCTAAATTGTAATCCTAAATTAAGAAAAAAAAAAAAAAAAAAAAAAAAAAAAAAAAAAAAAAAACCATGGAACTATTTTTTATAATCATTACAAATTTTCAAATAATTAGCTTAAATACAACTTACAATAAGAATAGTTAAAAGTAATATTATATAAAAAAAATTATAATGTTATCTTTAAAAACAAAAATAATGTTTGTTGTTTTAAATAATTACAATAAAAGAAACTAAAAATATCCATCAAATAAATTTTAAAACAGTTAAATTTCTGAAACCACATTAAAATAATTAAGAGTTTTCAAATACGTTATTTAAAATAACTTACAACAACAATTGTTAAAAGTAACATTATAAAAAAAAAGTTATATTGTTACCTTTAAAAACAAAAAACAATGTTTGATGTTTTAAATAATTACAATGATAGAAATTAAAATCGTAAGCAAATAAACTTTTTAAAATTAACTAATCATAACATCAACTATAAATATCAGTAAACGATATATTATATTTAATTTTATTCATGAGTAACCTGCATATATAAGCAATTGAGACAATTGAGATTATAGAATTTTAAAATATGTTTACATTATCATATAATCCAAAACAAACAATCTTTATATCAACCTATTATAAGATTTATTATATAAGAGTTAACAACAACGTCATCGATATATTTAAAAAAAACATATATTAATTAGGATTTCATTATATACTTATAAAGAAAATATTTTTCCTTTCACCACATTCATTTGAAACTCCCATGCATTTTCCCTTTCACCACATTCATTTGAAACTTTCATGACTTTTCAATTTCTTTCTAATAATGATTATAAGTTGATTAATAAGGTTAAATAAATATTAAACCTAAAGTGTAATCATATATAAACTAAATTTCAATATTAAAAGAATATATTTTCCTCTACTTATAAAGTTATATTTTGAACTTTTAACATATTATACTTAATTTATTAGGTCTAATATATTATTGTATGTAAACTATTCTCATTTTAAAACTACAACTTTTGAACAATTTGTATAAAATACTTAAAATATATAGGGACTTTATTGCAGTTTTCCAATAATTATATTGTTACCTTTAAAATAAAATAAAAATGTTTGATGTTTTAAATAATTATAATGATAAAAATTAAAACATTAAACAAATAAATTTAAAAAAAATTAATTAACAATAACAACAACTATAAATAACAATTAACCATATATTATATTTAATTTTATTAATGTGTAACTCGCGGGTAGAAGTCATTCAAACGATTGAGATTATGCAGTTATAATAGATGTATATATTATCATATAATTCAAAATAATCAATACATTATATCAATTTAATATACAAATTATTATATCAAATTTAACCACAAAGTTATTGCTATATTAAAAAAACATATATTTATAAAAGAGAAATTAAATTGATTCCTACTTTTTATACCTACAAATGTTCCTACCAAATAAAATTATGACAAGTGTCATCTTTCCATATTTTTTAAACTAAATCATTAAGACTATATTAGGAATATATCAAATACAATTAAATTGAATGGTGATTTGTCATAATTTTAATGGGTAGGAATAATTGTAGGAATAAAAGGTAGGAGGCAATTTAATTTCTCTTTATAAAGACTTCAATTATATAGGTGTTTCTACGTAAAACGCAGACATTTGCCTAGTTGTATAATGAACATTATATATCATTTTTTTTAAACCAAAAACCCACCGGTAAAAATGGAGAAAATTAGTGATTTATATATAACAAAGTAACCACACACAAAACAAAGTTAGAGCAGATTCATGAATTAATTAGTTTTTTCTGGGTGGTTAAACCATTCAAATACACCTATTATTTATGTACACATTTGTATTCAAATACGGTTTACAATTTTGTTTTAGAGTTTATGGTTTTGGATTGTTCTTTATTAACTTCATATAGGTTTCAAATTATGCCCTTGTTTTAGAGTTTATGGTTTTGGATGGTTCTTAATTAACTTCATATAGGTTTCAAATTATGCCATTTACCTTTTTCTTATCTTTTACCATTTTGACTTTCAGTTTATATAAATTTAAACATAGTTGTTACACTCAATTAATCGTACGTCACTCTAACAAATATTATTTTATTAATGTAATGAAAGTTACACAAATGATGTATCATATATTATTTTTTTTCTTTTCCACTACTATCCATGTTAGACTGAGGTTGGTTTTCACTTCCATCTTGGACAAAAGCATCAGTTTGATAGTCAAAATCCCAAAAGTCATTCATCTGAGCTTGGTTTAATTCATCCATCTTAGCTTGGTTTTCTTCATCCATCTGAGCTTGGTTTTCTTCATCCATCTGAGGTTCATTGACATCATGCATGTCAGTGCCAGTGACTCCATCAACATTGCTTTGTAGTATTTGTTGGTAGAGTCCAATATCAAAATCAGTAGCTGCCTCAACAAAGTCTTTAGCTATCTGCTCAGTCTCACCAATATCATCAAAGTATATTTTCTTACTGCAAGATGCCATCACTCCATCCTTTTGCTCATAACCCTTCTCCTATTATATCCAGGTGATAAGGATACGACTTAAACTATTTCATTGACTTGGATTTCAGGTTGGTTTGCTTGAGTGGGCACCACATCAACTAAATTATTAGTAAACTATTTCATTGACTTGGATTTCAGGTTGGTTTGCTTGAGTGGGCACCATATCAACTAAATTATCAGTAGGTGTAGTCATCACAGGTGTTTCCTTTGTTTGGTCATCAGGAGCTTCATCAATGTGTTGCACATCCTCATGTGGTTCATCTAACTGTACAAGGGTAACCTTGGTAACAGGCTTAGGATTCAAGAAATATGTGGGTAGTCTTGTTTCACCGTGTTCTGTGTATACCTTCATCACTTTGTGCTCACTGACATATTGAGAAAAGTTTGCAACATCTTGATCATTTCCTAAAGGGCGAAGACCAAAGTGGAAGTCTCCACCAGGCACAAGAAAATGGTAGTATATAACAGGAGGAACCCTATATCTAAAACCCTTCATGATTGCATCGAGCTCATGAACTGAAAAGTCATCTAGATCTACCATGTCAACATAGTTTACAGTTCCATCAATGTAACGGACATCAGGGTACTTGGTGAACTCACCTCCATGGTACAACTTAATGGTAAACAATGTTGGGTGCCATCTTCAAAACAAGAAAAAAAAAAACACCTCAGGTGGACTTACTTAAAAAAAATCAAGAAATCAAAAGACGAAAAAGGGCAAATTACGTACCATAACCAACCTTGGGATTGAAGGGTGTGTTTAACAATCTTACGTGCCACATTGGTATGTTCATCCACCGATAATCTCTACAAATCGCAGCTTAACTAACAAAACTGATTTTGTGTCTAGGGCTTTTATTGATCTTGGTTAAACAACGACGATCTACTTTATTGAGGAGACAAACTACTTTTATTGAGCTTTAGCGGGAACGGTTACAGGGATGAACGGACTAAAATACCCTTAAGTGAGAGGGGCATGGGTAAATTAACGGGAGCTTGGTAACGGCTGTTAAGCCATTGGACTAAACTCGCAACAAATAGAAACTATTGGAGCATCCTTGCAAGCCAAACCCATTTTGGACCAAACATGCTAGTTTTGACATACCATAGGGACCAAATTTGCAATTTTGTCTTTCATTTTATTGTACTGAGTTAGACATCGACTGCCTCATTGATAGCTTTCTTTTACATTTGATGGTAGTAGGGATAAAAATTTCACCCAATCCCGTGGGGGACCCGGTTGACCCACCCAAACCGTGGACGGGTATTCCCTGCCAAAATGGGTATTGGGTACGGGGCTGGGGATCCCCGTTATGCTAAAACCGGGGATGGGGCCGGGTATAGCAATCCCCTATCTGTCCCGCCCCTGCTTTGATGACTATATATATATATAATATATATATATATATATATATATATATATATATATATATATATATATATATATTGGAGCATCCTTGCAAGCCAAACCCATTTTGGACCAAACATGCTAGTTTTGACATACCATAGGGACCAAATTTGCAATTTTGTCTTTCATTTTATTGTACTGAGTTAGACATCGACTGCCTCATTGATAGCTTTCTTTTACATTTGACGGTAGTAGAGATAAAAATTTCACCCAATCCCGTGGGGGACCCGGTTGACCCACCCAAACCGTGGACGGGTATTCCCTGCCAAAATGGGTATTGGGTACGGGGTTGGGGATCCTCGTTATGCTAAAACCGGGGATGGGGCCGGGTATAGCAATCCCCTATCTGTCCCGCCCCTGCTTTGATGACTATATATATATATATATATATATATATATATATATATATATATATATATATATATATTAGTATAACGATCTTTTATTGAATTTGAATTAAGTCTACTAAGATGAATTGATTTATATTAGACCATCAAAGATAGAGTACATATACCAAATTATGTTCCCAAGTCCAAGAGTTCATCAATCGTCACTTTTTTCGATGGTCTATATACTAAATCGTCACTTTTCGTTTTGATGCTTGTTAAACTTTATGATTGATGTAAACATAATCTGATTATGACATATGGTTTTGATCACTTATTAAACTTGGTTGTTGTTTTGTAAGTTGAGTTTATTATGTTGATAAATCGTCACATATGGTTTTGATTCCCCGCATCCGTCGGGGATGGGGATAAGGATGAGGATGGAGACGAGGTTAGCAACTCGATTATGGGGACAAGGATGGTCAATCCTGTCCCAAACCCGCCTCATTTCCATCCCTAAACGGTAGTAAGAATTATTATTTTCACATTAAATATATACCTATTTTACCTTCTTGCTTCCTAACTTGATAACTACACTACATCATGTCTTTAGCAAATCTTGGCAAAAGAGATATTCCTTATAAGTTTCTCTCTTGTAAGTTAATGGAATAAACTTATATTTAAATGATATTACTAATTTTTAGTAAAAGAATATTCTTAAACTTTTTGTTGCTACCAATCCTTTTACCCATTTAAATGATGATATATGGCATATTAATATACTAAAATATCATTAAATTTCATTAAATGTTACATATATCACCATTTAATTTGGTAAGAGAATTTATAGGAACAGAAGGTAGAGGATATTTAATTTCTCTAAAATAGAAATTAAAAATCCTACAAATTAAATGTATAAGAGAAAAATTAACTGAATAATTATAAAATCAAATTAACTGTATAAGAGAAAAAGATTTAGTATATAAATTATGATTTTAAAAAAATTTAAACGTAATCTTTTTCATAGTTATAGTTTAAAAAGGTTTGCCAACCATGTGTTTATTTTGCTTTAAACATTTACGTTATAAATACTTAATAAAATAAAAGGTGTTACAATATATTCATCGTTCTTATTTTTTTAGTATCCATAATATTAATTTTGCCAAACATATTTTATTTTCAAAATACAAACAAAAATATTTAGGTTTTTTCAATCAACTTTTCCACAGCGTAATCATTTAGAGAATTTAGAAATAAAATCGATATCAGAAGAAAGAGGTGTTTGCACATAGGCAATACATCCTTCCTCAAAAACAAGACCGGTTATTTGATATTGAGGGCCCTCTACGGAGAATAGAAAAAGTACCCTTAAATATAATGAAACTAATTAGTTTAAAAATTACAATGAAAGCGAGGGAACAAAGATTCAAAAGCATAATAGTTAATTAAAATTTTAAAGGAAGTGCTGAAATGAAATCGAACTCTGAAGGTTTAAAAGTGATTGAAATAAAGGCGCACCACCAAGTGTTTGAACTACAAGTAATTTGCTTACATTACTACGTGAAATGATATATATATATATATATATATATATATATATATATATATATATATATATATATATATATATATATATATATATATATATATATATATATATATATATATATATATATATATATATATATATATATATGGAAAAGTGAATATACACATTAGGTACCCACATAATCAAAACTACGATAGTTTTGTTAAATGGTTTAATTTTCTGAAAATAAAAAACAAAAAACAATTTCCTTTTTCTAGTACGTGTTTCCTTATACTCAATTCCATCGATTTTTTGTTCCTTGATCGGCAGTCCAATTCAATAGATTTTGTGTTCCTTGATCGGCAGTCGGCAATTCCTTCATCGTCCTTCTGGAGAAAAAAAATTGGTTTTATGCTTTCTCTTTCAGCGATGAGTAATTCACAGAACTCATAAAAAAAAAAAAAAAAAAAAAAAAAAAAAAAAAAAAAAAAACGCTGAAGATATAGCAGTCCAATTCAATCGATTTTGTGTTCCTTGATCGGTAGTCAACAATTCCTTCATCGTCCTTCTGGAGAAAAAAAATTTGGTTTTATGCTTTCTCTTTCAGCGATGAGTAATTCACAGAACTCATAAAAAAACGTGAAGATATACTTTCGTTAACTGCTTCACTGACTGAAATCATAAAAAAAAAAAACAAATTTACAAAATTGGATATTAGTCGATGCTTCATAGAGGAGAAACGCCATAAACAGCAACTCGCCTCCATCAGGTATATCGATTATTGACACCCTTAATTCAGTTGATTATGTTGTAGTTAGCCCAATTATTGGTTGGTAGAAATTACGTTCAGCATGGGACATTCCAAAAGAATCAATCTACTACTAAACAGCAACTCGGTGAAGGTGGACGACCTCTCAATGTAGAATAATTAATGTTAGATTAATAACTCTTTATTATTATTTTATTGTTCTTGATCCAATTATTAGTGTTCTTGGTAAATTTGTGTTATATGATTTGGTTGGCAAATTTGTGCCTATTTAATTGATATGATGATTTTATTTTTCAAATGTACAAATAATATGTTTCTGGCTACACCAAAGTTGTATGAGGTAAACTTTTAATTTGGCATATTAACTTGGTTGTTAATCAATTAAGATTGCCTAACCTAACATAAATGTAGGATAAGAGCTTTTCATGATAGGGTTGTTACTAAGATACTCGTAGATGAGGGTGGGATTGTAAAAATTGTTAATATAATCATTTATTCACATTCAAGTTGCTTTTGCTTTTGATATAATGAAAAAGTTAGGCTATCTCTAAAAAGTTTCTGGCATGACATTAATAGAGTCAAGTTCTTATTGTCTTTTACTTGTGGTTTTGTGCAGACCATGGTATTTGAAACCGAAGCAGCTGATCAGGCTATAGAACCGTATATATATGAAAATGTTGACACGAACGATTTTGTGGAAGCAACATATGAATTAGAAGAAGTTAACGATTTCGGTGTGAACATTGAAATTCACGAAAATGATGTTGATGATGAAAGGATACTAGGAAAGGTTTTTGATACACCCGATGATGCCTATACATTTTATAATGATTATTCATTTTTGCATGGATTTGGTATACGTAGAGACGATACAATTAAAAATCCTAAAACAAATGAGCCTTTTCGGAAAATATATGTATGCAACAAAGAAGGTTTTAAACGGATGGACAAAAATGATTCAAGTGAAAATGAGAAAAAACGTCGTAGAGATGTTAGAACCGGATGTCAGGCAAAGCTTTGAATAACAAGATAGGAGGATGGAAAATGGTTGGTGGACTCGTTTAATGACACACACAATCACGACTTGACCATGACACCTACGAAGGTGATGAAGCATCGATCTCATAGCAATTTCCACCATTCAATAGAAGGTAAATCTCTTATGGTGCAGTTTGGTCAAGCAGGGTTGAAACCTTCTCAGATTAAAAAGGCTATTAATACACTAAAAACCTCAAATGTAGCTGATGTAACATCAAAGCAATGTGCTGATGTTTTATCTGAGCATCGAAAACAACATAGAGATAAGGAGTTTTATGGACTTATAAAACATTTTCAAGATAAAACATTAGTTGACAATGACCAGTATTTTGTTGTGGATTTGTCGGATGATGGGTATCCTAGAAACATCTTTTGGGCTGATGGTAGATCAAGAGATGCCTATACAAAATTTAGAGATGTTGTTGTGTTTTATGTCACTTATATGACTAACAAATTCTAGATGCCTTTTGCTCCCTTTACCGGGGTGAATCATCATGGGCAGTCTATACTTTTTGGTGGAGCATTGCTTGAAAATGAAAAGGAAGAAACATTTGAATGGTTATTTGAACATTTCCTTAAATGTATATTTGACAAGTATCCGAAGGCAATTATTACCGATCAAGACAAAGCTATGGGCAATGCCATAAGAAAAGTGTTTCCAAATACTCGACATCGCTTTTGTTCATGGCATATTAGGAAGCATGAAACTGAGCACCTTCGGTCATATGTTTCCCGTTATAGTGATTTTTAAGAAACACACAGACGATGGGTAAATAGTGACACCGTTGAACAATTTGAAGCAACATGGGAAGATATGTGAATTAAGTATGAACTGGAAAGCAATTGTTGGCTTAGTGACATGTATAACCAACGTATACATTGGGCTAAACCCTTCTTGAAGGATATTTTCTTTGCTGGTATGACCACAACCGGACGAAGTGAGAGTATTAATTCATTTTTTGATGGATTTGTTAACTCGAGGACCATGTTAAATGAATTCGTTGTACAATACGACAAAGCAGTTGAGTCACGAAGGGTTGCCGAAGAAGATGAAGACTTCAAGACTATGAACTCGAGACCGGTTCTTTCTTCAGTGCATCCAATCGAAGCAAAAGCAGGTCAAATTTATACTAGAAAGATGTTTGATACTTTCAAAAAAGAATGGACTGAAGCTATTACCAATTTGACCCACGAGACCATAACAAAAACTACAGAAGAAAGCACATATAGAGTTGGCCAATTGGATGTTGATAATAAATATTGGCGTATTGTTACCTTTCGTTCTTTAAATCAAGTCAGCATCACATGTTCGTGTTCTATGTATGAGACAAATGGGATTCTATGCAAGCATAGCTTGTATGTGATGAAGAAGAAGCATGTTCAAGAACTACCGAGTCACTATATTTTACCGCGATGGACCCTTGATGCTAGGTACAAATTGGGTAGTGTTAGTATAGGACTCGAAGAAATAAATAATGAAAATGGAGTTAGTGCGTACACATTATTTTGTGTTCGTTCGAATTTTACGAAACTAATTGAACAAGCAAGGGACTCCCATTCAGAGATACAAAAACTTAATAAGATATTGACAAGTCTTTTGAATGATCAAGCAAATCGAAAAAAATCTATGTCCTTGGAGAATACATCTCAAAGTTCTTGTATGGGAGTTTCGCAAGTAGATATGATGCCACAGTTATCTATCCGTGATCCTCTTGGTCCAGTTACTACAAAAGGGCGTCCTAAACTTGCAAGTAGAATCAAGTCTTCTGTAGAAGCCCCTAAAAAATGAACATGCTCTTATTGTCAAGGATTAGGTCATTATGCTACTAGTTGTTCAAAAAGAAAGGTAATTATAATAATAATTTAGTTTTCATGATTGAGAACTCTAATGATTATATTAACAATTTTTTATTTTTTTTTCATGTATCAGGCGGATGAATCGTTGCAAGAGACATAATGATGATATGTGTTGTTTCTATGGGCAAAAGAAAAAGTAGATGCTTCATGACATTTTTTTTGGTTAACTGCACGTTTTTCATGTTTTAGACACAAACAATATATGAATATTGATGCTTCTTAAGAATTTTAATTTGAAACGAATGAGGGTATTTTGTGAAAAAAAAAAAAACGAATATATGATGGTATTTTGTAAAAAAAAAACAAAATTATGAGGGTATTTTGTGAAAAAATAGAATTACGATGGTATTTTGTGAAAAAACAAAATTATGAGGATTTTTTGTGAAAAAACAAAATTATAAGGGTATTTTGTGAAAAAAACGAATATATGATGGTATTTTGTGAAAACAAACAAAATTATGAGGGTATTTTGTGAAAAAATCAGAATTACGATGGTATTTTGTGAAAAAAACAAAATTATGAGGATTTGTTGTGAAAAAATGAAATTATAAGGGTATTTTGTGAAAAAAACGAATATACGATGGTATTTTGAGAAAAAAAATTATGAGGGTATTTTGTGAAAAAAAAACAGAATTACAAGGATTTTTTGTGAAAAAAACAAAATTATGAGGGTATTTTGTGAAAAAACAAAATTATGACGATTTTTTGTGAAAAAAATGGAAGTATAATGCTATTTTGGGTTAAAAATGAAATGTTTGTGGAATTTTGGGTTAAAATTAAAAATAGGTTGTCATTTAGGTTAAATACGAAACTTTTTTACAATTTTGGGTTAAAAATGAAAGTAGGTTGTCATTTTGGGTTCAAAACGAAATTTTTCTGCAATTTTGGGTTAAAATGAAATAAAACTGTCATTTGGGTACAAAACAAAAGTTTTCTGCAATTCTAGGTTAAGAATGAAAGTAGGCTGTCATTTTGGTTAGTGTTGTGTTAATCTACACATACATTTGATGGTTTTTAAAATTGTTGGACGATTTTGCCCCTGTGCCAATGATGATAATCCTCAAGAACTTAAGGATAGGAAAGTTCAAGTCACATAAATAATAAGACCAAAAGCGAAGAATTTCAATTGCTAATTTTGATAACTCACAAAAACAATATGACCAAAAGCGAAGAATTTCAATTTCTAATTTTCATAAGTAACATAAACATATGTTACATGATAAAACAAAATAAAAACATGACTTGTTTTTCTGTTTTCTTCAAATGTTATAATATATTATAGTGTGGTGGTTGTGGATTTTTTGAATTGTATATTTGGGCCAATGTCCTTGAGAGCACAAATTTGTTCCTTTCCCGTTGCTGACATATGAGTCACAACCAGGTCCTTCCCCTCTCCAAATCCAGAGTAGAGACTACCATACAAATCCATCTTCAGACATATCAATTAGCTGGTAATCGGTACAATTGACACTGTGGACCTGTAAAAGCGAAAAAAAAATAGTGCGATTAGAAAAATGAAGAGAATAATTAAAATGAGAAAGAGCAGTAATATTACATACATCACAATTATGGGATGATGGAACAATATCATCAAGCTTTTTCCTGTTGAAAATCTCGATTGCAACAAAGTGACACTATAGTTTGGTTTAATCCCACTAAAAACAAGGCTAGCCTAATTAAAATAACAAAAACCACCAATTACAGAATTAAAGTCGATCACTTGTTCACTATTTTCCTGTAATGATACATACTTTCCTGTAATGAGACAAACAACTCAATTAAATTATATTAGAGGAAACAAGACAACAAAGGACCCATTAAACTAAGCAAAAACAAAAGTCAAAGTCCTACAATTCCATGTTTTTGAAACTTATAGCTGAATTCAATCAGATTTGTCTTCAGCAGATCATCCACTTCAAGATGAGGATATCTTAAACCATCAGGTCAAATTACATATCAAAATGAGGCTTTCTTAAACAACCAGGTCAAATTACATATCAAAATGATGAATTCTAAAATCAATCAGGTCAAATTACATATCAAAATGAGGATTTCCTAAAAAATCAGGTTACATTTATCAACCAAAAACGAACCTGGTTGGATAAAGATTACCCAATTTCGAAAACATTTGTTACGACTACCTAGATTTTTTCATGTTTTAACGAAGTAAATGTCAAAAATAAGAAGCATATCTAGTTGTTTTTAGACTCCGGATTTAGAGAGGCAGAAAAAACGAAGATGCGAACATGAAAAATGAAGCTAATTCCGGTCTCCGATCTCCGACAACGACAGAAGAGATGGGGTAGATGAGCGGCTAGGTTTAAGGAAGATGAAGGAAGAGGGGTCATTTCGTATTAAGCAAAATCAAGACATACAAACATGTTGACTTGAAACAGACGAAAAGCAACAAAAACCCTAACCCTAACAGCATAATTGAAAAACAATTGACGCAAAACTGTCTAAAAATTAACACAATTAAATAAAATATATAACTACGCAACACAAGGATTTTCCAAAACAAAACTGAGATTGAAGAAAGATGTTAACCTTGCAAGCACGATTCTTGATGACGATATAACCATTATTGCGAATGGTGCCGGCTTGCTGAGGATAAGTCTTGGAGGCTCCGGCATCGGCCTTGGACTCAAATTGATGCTCTTCATCGGGAACAAATGAAATGAAGTGAAATTAGAAAGGAATTTTTGTGTTCTATGATATCAGTCGATTATGGAATTAAATAAGTGATAAAACGGTGTAGTTTTGATTATGTGGGTACCTAATGTTATATACCCTTAAGGGTATATTCACTTTTCCCATATATATATATATATATATATATATATATATATATATATATATATATATATATATATATATATATATATATATATAAAATAAGCCCTTCACATGCCTTTTTTCTCCTTGCTTAAAACCATGCCTCCTAATAAATGAAGATACTTTGTCATCAACTAATTTATTATTCATTTTCCTTTTATTCCACTTGGCAAATTCTAGTATTTTTTTTTCTTCAATTATAAAAATACTAGTTTATAAACCGTGGGAAGCATGATGATTAAGTTAATTAAACTTTTATAATAAAAACTCAAAGTTATTAACAAATTAATTTAAATAAATTATTAATTAAGAAATATTTTTTTAGTTATATAAAATTATAATTGTTGATTCAAATAAATATATGAAATTATATCACCTTATAATTTGTATTTATTTTATTTTATTTATTTTATTCTAATGTTATTAATTTAATGTAATTAGAGTGAAAAAAATTTAAATTTGAAATTTGAAATTTGAAATTTGAAATTTGAAATAGAGAATTAGTAGGTTGAGAAATAGTATGACATTAATTAGGAGGCTTAATAAGATTATACATAACAAAATAAGTATTCTTTTATTAATATAGAGAAATAAGTTGACTAACTCCTTACACTTCTGCAGTATGTTATATATGTAAGGTATTGATTGTAATTATTTGTTAAAATCCGTTATTTTCTTTCATCTATTGTGATTTCACTTCTTTTTCACATTAGTTATATCTATTACAATTTCATAACTAATCTTGGATAGTACTTAGAATCAAACGAATTGATATCGATCATTGTATTTTTGAAACGACCCAAAAATTTCTTTAAAAAACATTACTAAAATCATATTTAGAAAAACTGTATCATAAGTCATAACATAAATTCTCGAGTATTAATTCAAACATAATATCATTATCCGAGTCAAACATTCCCAGGCTATCTGACTATGGTGTGTGCACTGCAATCTTCCCGAACTCCCTTTTTTTGTTTTTTGAAAACTGAGTACCTGAAACCAAAACTGAAAACCGTAAGCACGAAGCTTAGTGAGCTCCCCCAATCTAACACATACCATGCAATAACATATAAAGCACATACTGGGCCTTGCCCACTGCATCGGACCGATGTCCGGACTAACTGGGGCCTTGCCCCCTACATCGGACCAAAGTCCGAAAACTGACTAGGACCTTGTCCCCTGCATCGGATCGAAGTCCGGACTAACTGGGGCCTTGTCCCCTGCATCGGACCGAAGTCCGGAAACTGACTGGGACCTTGTCCCCTGCATCGGACCGAAGTCCAGACTAACTGGGGCCTTGCCCCCTGCATCGGACCGAAGTCCGAAAACTGACTGGGACCTTGTCCGGACTAACTGGGGCCTTGCCCCCTACATCGGACCGAAGTCCGGAAGCTGACTGAACATAGCAAAGCATAACATATCAACTACCATGAACACATATACTGCATACTACATCGGGCCGTAGCCCGGAACACATAACACTTAACACATAACACATAAATCCTGTCTGAGCCACGAAGGCATCAACATACTAACTACTGCATCGGAATCGAAGTCCGGAAACTACTGCTAACTGAACGGGCCGGCATTGTGGCCTTAGACCCGTCCCTACTGGAAGGAAACTCACCTGATGCTGCTGAACTGCTGCTGCTAATCCTTTTGACTGCTACCTGACCTCTGACTTCGACTGCTGCTCCACTAGCTCCTCGAGCTACCAATATCAATATAACACTTAGTCCAACTGACCTCCAAAGGTCACTAGGTCAAAATCCTGGTCAAAGTCAACCTTCCGGGTCAACCTACTCGCCGAGTCTACCTACTGACTCGCCGAGTTCATATGTTCTGGGTCTTTCTTATTCGCGACTCGACTCGCCGAGTCAGTCCATGACTCGCCGAGTCCAACTAGTTCCAAGTCCTGTCCTGTCCAACTCGCTGAGTCACCACCCGACTCACTGATTCGAGCCCCAACTCGAAGGGTTTAGGGTTTCGCGATCTGACTCGCCGAGTCCAAGAACAGACTCGCCGAGTCCTAGACAATCTTCAACCAACTCGTCGAGTTGCTCATCCAACTCGCCGAGTCCATGCCTAACTTCATCC